TGTGGAAACTGATCTAATTAGCGGGGTTTAGTGATCAAAGCTCACATGTCCTGGGGCGGACAGAGAAACAAGTCAAGCACTGTGCCTCCTGCCCTCAGCTGAATGAAAAACAAACAGGCCCAGAAAGCCCTGAATTCCCCTCCTGGCGTGACCTCCAGGGTCCCTGAGAGAGGACTTGGCGGAAGACTGCCACGTGAAACGTCAGGTGAACACCTCTTTTCCTTCTTTCCACAGATTCCTTGGAGACCCTCGTGAACACTGACCCAGAACCACAGTGCCAGAAGCTTATATGAAAATGATTCATTTACAGTATATGGCCTGTGCTCACAAAAAAACATATCAAGCACCTTCCTTTCTCTTTTTTATGTAAATGAATGTGACGAACTGACCCCTGTGAGCAAATACAGGCTCGCTCTCTGACAACAGAAACTCTATCAGAAAAAAAAAGGATTCTGCTGGACTGCAAACAAAAAACCTGGATTTTTCACCCATTTGTTGATGTTTTGGCTTCTGTAGACAAAGGTGTGCAAAATGTTAATAACAGCTTCGGGGATTTTCAACGATCACAGGAGCAGCTTACCTTGGATACCTGAGCACATCTGCACAAAGTAACCACATCCAAGTAGGAGAATATTCTGTGAAAAAAAGAAGACGCATGTTTAAAAGCCAAGGAAAAAAAACAAGGCAGAAGCAACAGATGACAAAAGTGCTTTTTAATCACGCTGCACAGCACATGCAGTTCCAATAAGGCAAGGCAAAAATGTACACTAAAAATAAATACATAACCGAACGGAAAAGGCAATTCGGGTTTCAAAGCGTGGTGATATAGTGTTAGAAAGTCACTTTGGCTTTAATAATTAAGACAGTAACTGGGAAATCAATTAGAAAAGGCACTTCAAATTGCACACAGGAAAAAGGAAGCCCACCCACAACTGTAGAAACCTGCGAATGTAGAGCAGATGAAGGCAATTCGTTTTCTGAACAATGAATAACACGATCCACAGAACAGTTCAAAGAGGATAATGTGGCAGTGAGCAGGAACAAAGCAAACACTCCCTTTATACCTATTTAGGCACCTGCTGCTAGTTTTGATAAGGAGTTTTTTTATTTCTGCTATTTTTGATAAAGAGCTTGCATACCCATTAACTCGCAAAGACTGTGTACACATTCCTGACTATTACAGCTCAGAGTCTGGTCTTCACAGAGGGGCGCCAGCACTGGCCTAACAGTTAAACACAATTTGAATTCAGGGACTGGCGTTTAAACTGGACTTTTTGGTTACTCTTTTTTGTCTCCACTGGGAGCCTTCATTGACAACAGTGACACACGAGGCAA